ATGCTAGATCCCACCCTTCCCCTCCCATAGCCATGCAGTAAGGTTATTTGAAATTAATTTCAGATCAATTTTAAGACTTCCAATGTCTTATCAAGATATAGTAAAAAGGGTAACAATGAGGGATAAATGATTCCAGAGGGGCCAATGGGCATTTAAGAACATCATTTCCCAAAATATGGCCACAAGCTAGCAGAGAGCAGATTAGACTGGACATTAGGAAGAACTTCTTCACAGTTAGAGTGGCCAAGGTCTGGAACGGGCTCCCAAGGGAGGTGGTGCTCTCCCCTACCCTGGGGGTCTTCAAGAGGAGGTTGGATATGCATCTAGCTGGGGTCATCTAAACCCAGCCCTCTTTCCTGCCTATGCAGGGGGTCGGACTCGATGATCTATTGAGGTCCCTTCCGACCCTAACATCTATGAATCTATGAATCTATGACAATTTTTAAAGCTACTTTCTAGAAAATTAAACAATGCTGCCCTCATTCTCTAGTCATATAGCTGGGAAAAAAAATTAACACTGCTACCCATCACAATAATATTTGAGCCCCTTCCACATAAAATATATAGTAACATGGGGGTCCTTCATTGAAGACTTATTCAAATTTCTTGTACTTCTTTCATCTTCAGGGCCAAAACCCTCTTTGTTTTTTGTTTTTTTTATTTTGATGTGGGCTCATTGGGCAGAAATAAAATTTCAGTGCAATGAGCTGTGTTCTTAAGATGCATTCAGAAAGACCCAGTTATATTTTAAATTTACATCATAAGACATTCCCTCTACTTTCTGGTATATTTTAATTAACAGTGAAAGAATAACAATATTGCCAATTTAAAAGATCACCCCTGACATCTAAATTTGGTCCTACTGTAACAGATGGGGCAATTCAAGCCTGACAGGTATTGTTTCAGGTTTTATACAAACTCAGAGCGGCATTACACATACTGAACAAGTTTTGTGTGATGTTTTGAAGTTACTTTTTTACTCCTCACAAACCAAGTCAGCACCAGAGTCAGTTTTTGGGGGCAGTGGATACAAAGAACGCTGAGATTGTAAAACATGTGGGAAGACTTTCCTAGATGAAGGAGCAAAGATGTACCCACAACTTAGTTAGCCCTATTATAAGGCACCAAGCATGCATTTCCTAATTCTCCTACCTGTTCCCTTCCACCCACTCTTGGGTGGCAGTTGCTATACTTCATTGGCAGTGCAGTTATTGGAAGTAAAATTTTACACTGGTTGTGTTTGTTCCTGAGTATTTGTAAGGATTTGTCCAACTTGAAGTCCAGTTGAAAACAAACAAAAAAAATCAACACATGGAAGCAAGGGGACTTCATCGATTGTTTTATTGCAAATAATTGAACTTAAGCCATAGGTAGAGATTGGAAGAAAACCGAGAATGTGCAAAGTATCACGGAACGTGTCAGCCCGTACTAACCTTGACCCACAGTGTTACATGTGGCCTTATCCATACTAATCTTCTTTTGGATAAATCTCTCTTTTGTTGCACTGTTACCCAATAGACTAATTCCACTAATGAAGCCATTACTGAAAATGTTTATATAGATACTCATTTTACAAATAGGCAGAAAATGGTCTGAACTAAGCAAAGACAATATCAACGACTGAGAATCCTGGCAGCAGGTCTGTTATCTAATTACCAATATCAGTCTTTCCTGCTGTTGTCCTGGCTAAATATGTCTGTGTAGATTTTATTGATAGGTTCATTTGTTTATTGCAATTAAAATATACCTTTCACATTTTCAAATGGTCAAGGGGATTTGCTCAATTATTGCCATAACATGTATCTTTGGGAAGGGGGGCGGGGGGGAACGGGACAGGACGGGACGACCCTTGATATTTGTAAATGCAAAGATGAAAACTTCATAAAATTAATAACTCTATTAATGATTAATGCTACCACACATTTAATAAAATTAATATAAGAACATAAGACTGAAAAAAGAACGTTGAGACAAGTTTAGACTTTCATTCCTGCCTCTCCTTGTCAGTACTACCCAGTCTACTCCTACTCCTACTTCTCACTTGCCACTATTTGATGGTAACCAGTGTGTATTTAGAGGGCAGCTGCCCTTAAGATTGGGGTGGTCCTTTCCTGGGTCCCTTAGGGCTATTATCATGGCCTCTTTACTCCCTCCCTAGCCATTTCCATGCCTTGTTGATGGTTCCCCATCTGCCCCTTTGTAGGGACTGTTCTTCACATACTCTTCCTCTTTCTCTAAACAGAATCAACACTGGCCCCCTCAGGACCCAACCCTTGTCCAGGCTTCAGCCTTTTTGGCATTGGTCCCTTTTTCTGTAACTGAGACTTCTTGGTCAGGTCCACTATTTTGGGCCCTGGTACTCCAGACCTCAGCCCTGAAGCAAGGGGTGGCTGCCTGTTACCCTACTCATGGTCTCCCCTACCCCTATGGGGGCTGTCCAAAGCTTCAGTCGCTGATTTGATTTGGCCGAGATTTGGCCCAATTCGGTGGCTGCATCTCCAAATCCAAATGGAATCAGGAGACCCTTTAATTTCTCTGAATTGAATCAGAACCCTCCGAATCAATTCAGAGAGATTTGAAGAGATTGGATGATTTGGACATAGATACAGCTTTAAATTTTTTTTTCTACATACCTCAAGGTACCAGGTGGCTCGTGAATGCTGAGATGGTGGGGCAGATGGAGCGTCCCACAGGAGTGTGGGGAGGTCCCCACCATGCTCAGCAGTGGACCCAAAAGTGGACCAGAAGCACGGGAACCCTCTCCCTTCCCCCTGGCTCGGCAACTGGTGCCTCCTGGGTCTGGGGGAGAGCACTCGGTTTCCCCCCTTAGCCAATTGCCAAACCAGGGGTTTGTGGGAGGGGTCCCCCGCATGCTCAGCAGTGGAACTGGAAGTGGACCAGAAGTATTTCCAGGTTTGCTGCTGAGCATAAGGGCGGGGGGGAGGGGCCCTGTGAGACACTCCATCCACCCCACCATTTCAGCATTCATGAGCCATGCCTGGTACCTCAAGGTATGTAGAAAAAAACATTTAAAGCTATGTCTGTGGCCGAATTGCTGATTCTCTGAATCAGCATCGAATCTTCAGTTTCAAATTCAGTTGAATCGAATCGGGGCAGTGATCTGGATCAACAAATAGAATCACTGTCCCCCAATTTGGGCTGAATCCTAGTTGAATATTGCCCATTTTGCACATCCCTACCCCACAGCCACCCCCAGTTCTCTGGAGTGTTTGCTTAATTCCTCAAACAAAGAATCAAAATAAAATAAAAAAGGGGTTAATCCTCTTGTTACCAGCTACTCCCACCTTCCAGGCTTGCTTATGGCAAAGGTTGCCGTTGTCTGAAGTCGAGGAAGCTTCCTTCCCCAGCTCCTGGGAGTTCCTCCCACTTCCCATCCCCCCTGGCTAGAACCTTCCTCCCTCCCAACTCAGTGCCTGGGCTCATATCCCTAAACCCTGGCCTCATTTGTCACATGGATGCTGCTCGTAGGCAGAAAGAGCTGTCCAGAAGTCCCTACTTAGCTCAATAGGCTGCTTGATTCCCTCTGTTTTGCAACCTTTCCCAGCTCTTTAGTTGCTTCTGGCCTTTAGCGCTAAGTCTCTTTTGAGCTTCCTGCTGCATTAAATTTGCCCTGCAGGTCCCAAAAGTTTGATGCCAGGGAGGGGTGTAATCCCTTCTCTTTTCTCTCTGTTGTGTGTAGGTAACAGGGTTTGGGTTCCCTGTTATAGGCAACAAGTCTATTCCCATATATGGAAAATGCTTACATATTATATGATATCCCTTGAATTACACATGGAAATATAAACTATAATGCAATCATTGAAAACTGTAGACTCCAGCCCTGATTCTACAAGTTTACAGATATGCCAAACTTTCCACACTGTATTTCATTTTTATGTAATTGTGCATGTGGCTTAAGAAAGTTGTTGGATCCTGGGTGTAGCAGCCCTGAGGGCTATCAGGGAACTGACCAGAGCACATATATTGAAGATTAGAATAAAATAAAAAAATGCAGAAGCTGACTCAGATGTGTAACAAAATGTCACTTTCAAAGACAAACAAAACCTTATAATTTCTATATTAGCAAATTATGAACCTGTGAATAGGGGCTTAAATAGAAACATTCTTATTACTGTTGTAGGAATGGTTCCTAGGAATCTACATCATGGTTCAGGACCATATTTTGCTAGGTTCTTTGTGAACATGGTTTAGGACTATAATTGTTACTAGAAGCTGTCATCATTTTCAACGTATGCCAGAAGATATGTTTTCTCCTTCCCTCTGAAAATTCCTTGTCTCCACAGACTTTTCTGTTTCAAATCCTGGCATGCTTGTGTAGTGCCTTCCTCAGGGCATCCTTTACCTCCTTGTTCCTCAGGCTGTAGATCATGGGATTCAGCATGGGAATTATGACCGTGTAGAATACTGAGGCCACTTTGTCTTTGTCCTGTGTATGACTGGAACTGGGTCTTAAATAGATGAAGAGGAGGGCCCCATAGAACACAGTGACAGCCATTAGGTGGGAGGTGCAGGTGGAAAAAGCTTTGCGCCTACCCTCAGAAGAATGGATCCTCAGCAGGGAGGAGAGAATGTAGAAGTAAGAGAGGAAGATGGTGAGACAAGAACAGATACCAAGCAGGCAAGCTGAGGCAAAGACGACAATCTCATTAACTTGGGTGGAGGCACAGGAGAGCTTCAAGAGAGGTGTGATGTCACAGAACAAGTTATTGATGGCATTGGAACCACAGAAGGGTAGCTGAAATGTGGAGATTATGTGTGTGACTGAGTTCAGGAAGCTACATCCACAGGAGACAGACACTAGACAAATACACATCCTGCGAGACATGACAACAGTGTACAGCAGTGGTTTGCAGATGGCCACATATCGGTCATAGGCCATCACAGACAGCAGGAAGTACTCTGTTCCTGCCAGACCAGCATAAAAGCAAAATTGCATTGCACACCCAGTAAAAGAAATGACTTTGCTCTCTGCTAGGAAATTCACCATCATTTTGGGAGTGACAACAGAAGAATAGCAGGCATCAACAAAGGCCAAGTGGCAGAGAAAAAAGTACATGGGTGTATGGAGTTGAAAGTTGCTCTTGATTAACACAATCATCCCAAGATTCCCCATCAGAGTGATAACATAGATCACAAGGAATACTGTGAAAAGGATGACCTGCATCTCTGGATGACCTGTGAACCCCTTAAGAACAAATTCTGTCACCAGGCTGTGATTTCTTCCATCCATGTCAGCTTCTGATTGGAGAAGGAGGAATGCAAATAATAGAAGAGATGTCACACAAGTGACTGCAGATTATGACCAATTAAATTCCATGCGTTGAGGGACAGAAAGTAGACATTCCTGTAAAATAACCATAAGGAAGCAAAGTTTAGCATATAAAATAGGACACAGAAGAAGGAAGGGCATTCTGAGTCACCAAATATTGATCCATTTCATCTCAGTCAACCATATTATATAATCTCCATCACAAATTTATCAATCCCTACTTTAAAACCTATAATGTTGCCTCCCCACCATTAATCCTGCTGGAAGGCTGTTCCTGAATCTTACTTCTCTAATGGTTAAAAACTTCTTCTCATTTACAGCCTAAATCAATTCAGTCACCTTAAATCCTTTAGTTCTTGAGCCATCCTTGCCCTTTAGATTAACTATAGCTCATGCTGGTTCTATTTCTGCACTGGCTGACAATTGTCTATATTAATTTCAGGGTTGTCACTCCTTTATCTTTACACAACTACTACCAATGTACATATACAAACATAAACATAAACATATTATCTTATATTCTCACATACATATGTGCATACACATCCTTACATATTTTAATATTAGAAAAGCCTTTGTCTGTTTGTCTGCCTGTCTATTTGTCTGTCCATAACGCTTTATTTGCACTCTGATTGGCAGGATGGAACTGAGCCCCCCACACCATGACATCAGGCCTGTGGGGCTCTCACCAGCTCCATGGGGAGCCTTGTGGGCCATGGTTCTGCACACCAAATTGAGTGTGCAAGGTGGCATAGAGTCAACCCCGGCAAAAAGGGCCTTGGCAGCGGTAGCACAGGGCTTCAAAGCCCAAACCCGGCATGTGGGACAGGAAGAAGATGATGCAGGTCCTGAGGTCCCAGCCCCAGCACATGAAGGTAGAACAGGGCTAAGACCCAGTGCAAAGCCAACTGAGGCCATGCAGGATCCAATTCTGTTACATGGGGTCAGATACAGCCCACAGACTGACCCCATGCCACTCCTGTGGCCCATGAGGCCAAAAAAGTTTGACTCCCTCTGTTCTGCATTTCTACAGAAATTCAGTAGAGGTAGTGGGCACTTTTGGTCTTTGAAAAAAAATATAGAGAAAAAATATGTATGTTGGCTGAAAACTCACTCTGCACAGTTGTCATCATGAGGTTCAGTGAGACTTCCTAGCAAATGTTCTCCATTGAAAAATGAGTTGCTCGCCCTGCAACTCTGTTTAGGTCCATTATTTTTGTGTGTTTACATCATCATCATCATTATCACGATTATCATCATCATCATCATCTTCAGCAGCAGCACATGTATGTATGCACCTACATTAGTTTGGCTTTATTAAATGATTTTTTTTTTGGAGGTGGTGGGTTTTAAAAAACACTGCTTCAATTTAGGGCAAATTAACCCCCTGTGTCATGCATACACCTCACTGACATACCTGTCTCTCTGGTGGGGAGGGTAAAGCAAGCTGCCGGTGGGCAGAGGGGTCCCTGGGTTGCAGGGGGAGGGTGGCAGTTCTCTCCACAGCACCTGCACCCTCTGTCCCCTCCCCAGGCAGCACTTGCCCGCAAGCACCCAGCTCAGGCAGTCCTGGGGGCACCGTAGCTGTGGAGGGAAGCACCAGGCCTCTGTGCAGCTCAGGCAGGTAGGCAGGTTCTGGGGAGGTGGGGGGAGATCAGGCTCACTGCTTTTCTTGGGTGGAGCTGCTTTCCTGGGCTGCTGTCAGGCTGTCTGCAGGGCTTCCTGAAGGAGTTTTAGTTTGCTTGAAGGAGTTTTAGTTTGCTGTGCCCCAAGTCATTTAAGGTGCGTTACACCACCAAATTTCCTGTAGTGGCTGGAATTAATGCGCAATATGCCGCTGAGGCATGCAAACACTGACACTATTAAAGCGGTGCAAAAGCATTTAGCCTGCTTTAAAATGTCATGCAAACAAATCTCTCGTTTCATCTACACATGACCTAGAATCAGTGTACCTCATAGCAAGTCCATAGTGCAACTATGAGGTTTTTACATGGTCACCTTTTCTTCATCTTCTTCTTTGGTATAATTGGAGTGAAAAGAGTTTTTTTCTGTATATTAGGAACAGAAAAAATGAAGTCTTTAATAAGAGTCTTTCACTTCTTGACATATTCTCTTCTCCACATGAAGTGAAATAAGGGGTCAGAATACTTTCTGCTCCTTTTCATGTGGGCTGACAAGTATCATAGTAGTTTCTTTCTCTCTACTGTAAAGTTCCAGGAGGCAGATTTTATTCCAAAACTGAATTTCTGGACTTTCCTTAGTGCTATCTATCATAAAATGTCTAAACCTATTTCCTTGGATATTCAACTGAAAAATTATTAATCTGTCACCTCCTGGGCAGTGTTCCCTAGTGATCAGAGATCTAGCCAAGGGCTCAGGACACCTAAGTTCTATTTCTGACTCTTTTGCCATGGTGCTGAGTGTCTTTGCACAACTCACTTTTTTGTCCTATATCTGTTTTCCCCAAATGCACAACATGTGGAAAATGATTTTGTCCTCTTTTGTAAAGCTCTTTGATGAAAAAACAGTAAGAGACAGATATAATACAAATATTAATATTATTAATAGTGACCATAGTAATAATTAAGATGATGATGTAGCAGCTGCTCATGGACAAAAATAGTATCATAATTTGAATCTTGGCTATAAGAATCATCAGACTACTATAGAAAATTTGACTGAAATATGTTAATAATGAAAATATGTTTCTGTAGGTTCAAAGAGACTCAGAAGCAGGCAATCTTTTCATATGTTTTTCCTTTCACTTATATTGTTGCCTTGGGTGGGTCACTTCACCTTTCTTTATCACAGTTCCTTCACCTGTAAAAATAAGTTACTGGCAATTACCTCCCTCCATGTAAGGTTAGGTTTTGACTATTCCAGAAACTTGCAGAGGGACTTTTCAAGCTGCTTCACTGCAGTGCTGCTCTTTAGCCTGGTATTTACTTCATTTTATCTCCATACTCAGAAACATCACACCTACCTGAAAAGGACAGAATTGCCTTTATCCTTCTTCCAGAAAATGTTGTTGTAGAGGCTGCATCATATTTTATATCAGTGGTGCTTTAACACCTGGGACGTGGTCCCACAAGAATCCACAAGTGATTGAAGTGCTAGCAATTAAAATGATTTTCAGGTCACTACAGTAGGAAAACAAAATTTGCTATGCAGTTGCTGTGTGAATCCTCAGGGAAGGTTCCCACTTTCTTTAAGTGTCATTAATAATAGGTTGTGATTTAGAAAACCATCTGGCATGTTGGTCAACCTTCCCTGGAATGTGAGTGTATTGCCCAGAAACAGGCATTTACATTTTGTCAAAATGAGGAAAGTACCAGGTCTTCACATTTAAGTTATCAGTACTGTGACAGGAACTCCCTTGGGAACCAAGGACCATCATAAACTTTGCTATCTCCCACTGCAAATGAGGAAAGCACTCTTTTAACATGCAAGAGTGCATCCATCTGAAATAAATCATATTGAATCACTACCTACCACAGCCCAAACAATTGCCCCCCTCACCTCGCCAAGGGAAAGGATGCGGGGTGGGGAGAGGGGGTGAGGACGACAGCTCTGAGAGAAGCTGGTCTTTTTTATTTATTTATTTTTTTTTCAGAAGGCAACTTATATTCTTACAGTCAGGAGGATACACTAAGAGGATCCCTGCGGAATTACACAAAAACACAATATTTTCTCACATACCAAAAGTCCCTAAATAAAGCATACACCTTGTTTTTGGATGGCAGAATGTAAAAGATTGTTTTTGAGTCATGGCTGACTATATGACATGTAACAAATCTTCCTGGAGTGCATCTGCAGTTGCTATTAATGAGATTTAGGTTCACTGTACAGTAAATTACTGCACAGTAAGCCAGCCCTGGAAACACGTCTACACATGCACCCTGTGGGCACACCTACATGAGACACTAACTGTGCAGTAACCTAATAATACTGCACAGTCGCAAGTCATAGCACAAACAGTGCTAATATGCTACCACTCAGTATTATCAGGCTACTGCACATTAGTATCACTAAAAAAGGTGTTTGCCAGTGCTTCTGTGCAGTAACTCTCATTACTGTGCAATAATTTAATACTTGATTGTACAAGTACTAAATAGGAAAGCACTCTTTTAACATGCAAGAGTGCATCCATCTGAAATAAATCATATTGAATCACTACCTACCACAGCCCAAACAATTGCCCCCCTCACCTCGCCAAGGGAAAGGATGCGGGGTGGGGAGAGGGGGTGAGGACGACAGCTCTGAGAGAAGCTGGTCTTTTTTATTTATTTATTTTTTTTTCAGAAGGCAACTTATATTCTTACAGTCAGGAGGATACACTAAGAGGATCCCTGCGGAATTACACAAAAACACAATATTTTCTCACATACCAAAAGTCCCTAAATAAAGCATACACCTTGTTTTTGGATGGCAGAATGTAAAAGATTGTTTTTGAGTCATGGCTGACTATATGACATGTAACAAATCTTCCTGGAGTGCATCTGCAGTTGCTATTAATGAGATTTAGGTTCACTGTACAGTAAATTACTGCACAGTAAGCCAGCCCTGGAAACACGTCTACACATGCACCCTGTGGGCACACCTACATGAGACACTAACTGTGCAGTAACCTAATAATACTGCACAGTCGCAAGTCATAGCACAAACAGTGCTAATATGCTACCACTCAGTATTATCAGGCTACTGCACATTAGTATCACTAAAAAAGGTGTTTGCCAGTGCTTCTGTGCAGTAACTCTCATTACTGTGCAATAATTTAATACTTGATTGTACAAGTACTAAATTTAATGTACAGTAACCACTGCACACTAATGAACATGTAGGCACATCCAGTTGGGAACAGATTTGCTCTTTATAAGATTAAGTAGATTCAGGCCTTCTCCCCTACAGTAGCCAGGGGGAGCTGCAGGCTGCCTGGGTGCCAGAGGGTCCAGATGGGGCGGGGGGCGGTCAGGCTC